AGTTCGAATATATTTATATATATTTTTTAGTGCTCTACAAATTTACTTAAGGTAGTGATAGTACCCGGTTGAATATTCCACAGGTTATTAGCAGATAATCGAATATCCAAGTTGTAAACTCTACACCAATATGATCAAAGTTCAGATTTTTCTTCTCACGTTGACGTAGATTAATATAGCTTACAAGTGTAATGTTAATATTTTTATTACTTGAGAAATTCTGGTCGAGCGGTTAGATTTTTTTTTATTATCTAAACTAGTATATAATCATGTAGCAGCTTCACCACTAACTAATAATTAGATATATGGTATTAACAAATATTAACAATTTGATAATACATGATTAATTGTGAATTCAAAGATATATATTAAGATAGTATTTTATTTGTTCTTTTTCATAGTTCTTGCTTTGCTCAAGCTTTAAGTTTTTTATATTTTGTCTCGCTTCACTTTGCAGGTTTTAAACTCTATATTTTTTTACCCTAACTTAAAGTTTTAATAATGTAACTGCAATTTAAATATAAATACTAGAACTTTGTTTACGGGAATATAAATACATAAAGCTAGTTTTGAAAATAACTAATGCAATAACTTTTGGCCTTAATTCAAGCTTAGTTTTATATTTATTTTGTTCTGTCTCACTTCACTCATTAAATATATCAATCTCATCACATTGTAAATCTAGGCTTTAATCAAGATTTATAACCTATCGGTGATTTAACAAGTACAAGAGTAATTTTAGCTATAATAAATATATACTAATCTGTTATCCAGTTTAAATTCTGAAATTAGTGTGTTTTAAATAATACAAAATTTTTGATTTATCAAAATTGGAATACTATTAGAATGATTTATCTTTATGTCAGAGGTTGTTATCAATATGAAGCTAGAAATAACAGCCTTAGATAGACCCGGGTTTACATATTTATCATAGACTTAATTGTATCTTTAAAAAAATTACATAGTATTCACGTTATGTCTAATGTGAGATGATCGTATAGAACTCATTGATCAAACAATTAAAAATGATTTACATTATCAAAAATATATTCAAAATTTTAATTTATTTTGTTAGAGTGGTATTAGAGCAGTGTGAATGATAATGTTCAAAAAAAGATCGATAGTTTTACATTTTACGTATTATTAATAGCCTAGCGCAATTTTTATATAAACACGACTACACCAAAATTACATCAACAGATTTTAATGTAAATGTTGTGATTTTAATATTAATGACATGAAAAATTTGAAATTTTCTTTGTTTAAAATGGTTAACAATATGAAAGAGTTATTTAGCTATGTTAATAATATTGAAACCTGACATCTCTTATGCTTTAATTTACCTTGTCGATCAAAAATTAGACTCTGCTTCTAATTGTTCAATTGCCAGTTTTATTGCTACAACCTTTGATTATAATGATAAACAGATAGTGCTGAAATTTGTAGATTCAACAAGTTAGATGGATATATCGCATATCGATAAAAATCAATATAAATAAACACATCATAATCAGTTGAAGATAAAGTAATCGATTAGGTACAAATTTTTACATTTTAGCTATTTTCTTTTTTTTAGGTTTTCTATTCTGGTAGTTGATCACCCCGTAACCTGCCAGATATATCTGTCAGATAACCAGATAGCATTTTTTCAATTAGGTACATACTATCACTAATTTGAACTCAGACCAGTCGGCAGACTTCAGACCAGATCTGAACCAAACTAAGACTTGACTAAAAAGTCTGAATATAAAAGTCTGAGTTCGGTCTGAAAATCAGACCAGACTCAGACTTGACTAAAGTCTGGTTTGGATCTGGTCCATAGGAGCACTAAATGAAACTAATACTTCTTACATATATCTTACTTCACTAGGTCTTCTTCAGGCTTTACTTTATTGGATCTTGCTTCATCAGGTTTGGCTTCATTAGGACTTCCTTCTTCTTTTCTCTATTAGATTCAGAATCTGGGATTAGAAATGTAGTAGATGCTTTTTTTGTATAGTTTAATTTTTTCTTTAAACAAAACTAATACTTCTTGTATATGTTTTACTTTGCTGGGTCTTCTTTGGGCTTTACTTAATTAGATCTTGCTTCGTCAAGTTTGGCTTTATTAGAACTTCCTTCTTCTTTTCTCTGTTGGATTCAGAATCTGGAATTGGGAATGTGGTAGGTATTTTTTTGTATAGTTTAATTTTTTTTCTTTAAATAAAACTAACACTTCTTGCATGTGTCTTACTTCACTGGGTCTTCTTTAAGTTTTATTTTATTCATCTTGCTTCATCAGGTTTAGATTCGTTGGGTCTTGCTTGTCGGGTTTGGCTTTATTAGGTTTGACTTTTTTGGGTCTTGCTTCATCGGTTCTTACTTTATTAGTCTTTGTTAGGTCTTGCTTTGTCAGGTATTACTTTATTGGTTTTGCTTTATTGAATCTTTCTTCATCAGATCTTACTTTGTCAGTTCTTGCTTTTGTTAGTCTAACTTCATCAGGTTTTGCTTTGTTAGTTCTTACTTCGTTGGGTCTTACTTTGTTCATTGTGTCTTGTTTTTTGTTTTTTAATACAGTGGTTTGATATTTTATACTTATGCTCAATAAGATCTTAGTTTTATAGATCTCAAAATAATTTTTTAAGATTCTAAGATAGGCAAAACTTTTTCTAATAACAATGTTAAGGATTTGCTATGTAAAAATATTGAATGCTGATATTATACAACAGAATCTTAACTGATGTACTTTGTTTAGAAAATGAACTATACAAGATTATCTTATATATTAGAGGTATTGGAAGTATTTTTACTAGACTGCTTCTTTACGATGTTAAATCTAAGTAACCTTTCATTACAAATTGCTTAATTTAAATAGATATAGACTTTTTAATAGTAATAGAAATAAGTTTAATATTTGAATTTGTAGTATGTTTGGGTTTAACACTATAAATTAGCTTCTGATTGTAGATTGTATACAAGTCACTCTCGTTATAGTGAAATTATCAGGCAGGAGATTTTCTATATTATATCAAGAGAGTTTTTATATAAACTTCATAATAACAAGAGGTCTATTATAATGAGAGTTCACCATAACAGAAGTAACTTGTAATAAGTTCAGTTTAAATATAATAAATATTGTAGAGTATCTGGCATACTATCTAATTTAGTAAATTGACAATTACAGTTTTAAAATTAGATATTACAGTCAACCTACTTTATAACAGACAAAATTAGCTATTCTTATAAGAAACGTTTATTGAGTAATTTACTAATTTACTAGGCCTTTATACTATGCTTGCTACAGAATTAGCTATAACATGATTACAAGCAAATATTGGGCACTTTATCACATAATTATTTATTATGTTGAATATAATTTTGTTTTTTATAGACATCAAATAGCATTTATCATTGTTATCATTATTGATTCTAGACTGTTTTAAGTGGGTATAACATGTCTATATAGTTTAATTATATTTTATTCTTTATAAAGCAATTCTTAAAATATTATTCATATAAAAGTTTTTTTTGAATTACTGCTAGCTATGTAGTCTTTCAGCAATATATTAAATTATATTACTTATTGCATTAGGTTGTGAATTTATTTCGTCGTCTGGTTTCTTCAAGTTTCAAACTAGAATATTTTTGACATGTATGCATAACATAAAACAGAAATATAAAGATATACTGTAAAATATGATATAACAAAGAAAAATGAAGAGAATCACATGACAAGTAACAGTAACATTACATGAACTACTTTAATAAAACCTTAATAATCATTGCAGAAAATAATTTACCGTAAATAGCTATATAGATAACTCAGGTATGTCGATTAAAAAACTTGAATTATACTCAGAGGTTTATTATTTTGAGGGGGTATAATAAAGGTAGACTAGTCATGTCAGAAAAATGTCTCGATCACGTAATCGATGATCATTTCCGACCCCTGATGTATTCCAATAATCGGCCCTTTTATATACACTATACCGATACTAATATAATATATATATAAGTTATTAAAATTTTTTTTTATTAAAGTTAACGATGAATATAAAAATTTTTCTAACGCTAATAAAAGATTTTAATAAATTTATATACTTACGTACTTATATAAAGAAAGAAAAGCTGCATCGAATTTTAGAATTTTAGGGTCAAAATATAGAAAATACTTTACAAGTGCTACTAAAACTACTCTAACTACCACAACTACTATAACTATTTGAATCAACCCCCAATATTCGTAAGGCTTCGATTGAAGCGTAAAAAGAATTGGTCCAAGTAGTTGGGCTTAATTGGGTTTAGAGCGATAATGTTACGTTCAGATAAGTGTTCTTTTGCTTTCTTTTTCATTTATTAGTTTTACTCTTTCTATTACTATACTAATTACTTTTTTTTTCATTAGCAGCTATCGTGATCATGAATTCGATTTACTACTGAGGCGTGGAAAGAACTGGTCCAAGTAGTTGGACTTAATTTGTCTAGAGCGATAGTGTTTGGTTCAGATAAGTGTTCTTTTGCTTTCTTTTTATTTATTAGTTTTACTCTTTTTATTACTTTACTAATCGCTTTTTTTTTTCGTTAGCAGCTATTGTGATCATGAATTTGATTCACCATGAAGGCATTCAAAGAATTGGTCCAAGTAGTTAAACTTAATTGGGTTTAGAGCGATAGTGTTTGGTTCAGATAAGTGTTCTTTTGCTTTCTTTTTCATTTATTAGGTTTACTCTTTTTATTACTTTACTAATTACTTTTTTTTTTTTTTGTTAGCAGCTATCACGATTATGAATTCGATTCACCACAGGGTTACAGTCTACATATGTTTTCGCACACACTAAACATTCAACAAAAATTTAATAATATTGAATATGTCGACATTTGTAATGACAAAATTATCTATAGAACAAGTATCATATGTAATATAT